TCGTAGTGCTTGCCATAACAGCGAGTACGACTGGTGTGGGTCTGTAACTTTCATGCCATTGATTTCAACAAATATGAAGTCATCCAACTCTTCGGCTTGTACCGAGGCCTGCAGTTGTGCCACGACTTCACGCACCGTCGCCGTCTTTCCAGTGCCTGGGGTGCCCGAGATGTAGATGCAAGACCCTGATCCTTCAGTGATGGCAGCTTCCAAGTGGCTGTAGACGGTAGAGAACTCCTCCTCCCGACAGGGCAGGGCGGCCGGGACTGACGATACATGGAGTTGATTGCGAGCAATCTGGAACGGCGAATTCAGGGCAGAGGGGTCGAGTACGCGTGTGCCCAGGGGGGTAAACTCTAATTGCTTCTTCACGACAATTCTCTTGTGTGATGGGGTGAGGAATTTGCGGGCTGCCGGACTCTTCTTGGTCGAAGTGGGCGTAGTCGCATCATAAAGTTTCCGGCGCTTCCGCGGAGTTTCGGGTTGGCCGTCATGCGCTGCATCTGGAACCACGAATTCATCCAGGTCTTTTTGCAGCTGCTTCTTTGGCCGACCCGGACCTTTCCTTGTGGCCTTGGTTTGGCTCTCGACGAGGTCGACCAGGGCTTGAATATCTTCGGCGTTGTTGTAAATGTCTTCCCACCTAAACTCGGGCGTATATGTCGTTGTTCGTGTATTACAGCCTCTCCTGCAGACGAATACCTTGCCATAGTCCTTGGAGGACTTTTTAACCCCTGCTGGGTATAGCTCTTGGTATCGCTCCAGGGAATATATCTTGGCCGTACCGTTGATCGAGGCCAGCGGGTTGTCGTCGAATGCAGCCGATATGTACAGCTCGTTCTATTGGTTTTGCAATTAGTTGGCAGTCATGCGCGCGCATGAGGTGTCAATAAGCTCACAGGAAGGAAATCGGTGCGCTTCTTGTTCTGGTTTCGGATTTCCTTTTCGGAGAAGAACCACAGGAACTTGGCCATCTTCTCGTCTTCATTGACGTCTTCGTAAAAGTCACAGATGATGCCCACCCATGCTTGATTTCCCTCTGCTTTGAGCAGGACAGCGTCGCCGACTTTACATTTGAAGCTACCCATGCGTGCACCCACTATGTGTCGTCCCAGCAGGTCAGGGGCTGCTTTTCTCTTCCGCGGTGTCGCATTCTGATTCGGCTGGGTATCGTCGGCGACATTGTCCTGGTAGATCCATTCCCATGGGTGGTCCTCGTAGCCTAGCTCATCGTCTGAGTCTTCACGGAACACTGCGCCGCCAGAGAGGTATTGCCGTGCCTTGTCTACCTTGGAGCGTTTAATGGGAGCCATGGAAGAGTGCAAGTGGTGTTGTTACAATTTGGGGGGGGGGTTAGTTGTCGCTGACGTTGGCGCGCAACCGAACTACGACGCGTCGCTGTAGGCTTGGCGTCGCGAGACGCGGCAAGGCCAATCTCACCCCCTAGAGCACGGTCATGACACTTCCACCTCACAATTCCAGTCCGTCACAGTATACTCATTGCATGTACGCATATAGCAGATCAAGAACGCACAACACATTTCACTTGTTATCATGCAAAACAAATCAGGTGATGATGATGATGATAGTAATATTCATTTGCCATATCACCGTGGCTCAGGCTTGCGCTGGCGCCAAGCTCACGTCCCTATGGTGAAATCTAAGGTAGTAGTCATAACCAAACAGACTTTGTCAATAAAGACAAGCAATCTCTTAACGCCCAACCTCCCTGGTTAAGTGAGGAACCCTTCCCTAAACGACCGACGCTGATGATGCAAAACAAGAGAAGAAGAAGAGGAAAAAAAAGAATCGGGTAGTAATTCATAAAAGACAGGAGACTGCAAGTCTCAAGAAGAGAAGGTAAAAGAATCCGCGCCACGGCACCCTGGTTACACCGAAGAAATGGGGTGCATGGGAGGCGTTGGTGGCATCGAGTTTGGTGTTGTTGGGTAGTCCATGTCCGAGTGCTCAAGTGGTGGCGTCGTCATCTGCCGGAACCGGTCAGTGGATTGGTCGGCGAAGGAAGAGCAGCAGCGAGCGGAAGAGCTGGAAGCCTATGCGTAGTAGGGCTGGCGTGCAGGGAGCCTTACTGAGTGTGGGTAAGAGTGGGGTGGTGGAATCTCGATGCCGCCAAGTGCCGCGTAGCCGACACCAAACGGGCTCATGTCCTCCTCGGCATAGTACTCTGTCTTCATGGCGGGCACCAAACTTGGCAGTCCAGTTGAGTAGGAGGACGAGTGTGGGGGTGGTAGGTAGGCGTAGCTTGGCATGTCGGTGGTGAGGGTTGTTGGTATTGTGTGGTAGGGTGAGGCTGAGTAGGGCATGGAGTAGGCTACGGCGTCTGGTGCTGGGTAGGCCGACGAGTAGGCTACGGAGAAGGGTGGGGGGCTGGTGGACAGCTGGCGGGTGTACTGGTGCGAAAACATGCGGTCCTCAGCGGGCGGGGTGGTGTAGGAAGACTCGGAAGAAGATGGTGAGGGGAACTCCTGGCGCGGTGATCGCTGAGGTGGCTGCAGCTCGGCAGGCTTCTGCTCAGGTGAAGCTGAGGTGGAGGCAGCACGACGCTCCTGCACCCGCATCAGTACATTGTCCCGAGCTATACGAGGTGCGGTAGCACGGGAACTCACAAGGTCTTCGAGCCTCTTCTTGAGCTTCTTGCGGTAGTTGCGTTGGGCAATGCGGTTCTGGATACGCCTGCGCTCCGCAAGATCCGAGATCTTTGTCCAGTCCTCGTTGGGGTTTGCCGAGGCTGAGAAGGCCGACGAGGTACCCGAGTATCGTGTGGTGGTTGCCACTGGGCTGGCGTATTGGTAGCTGGCGTGCCGATGCATGGTGGGGGAAGTGTGGCTACGGGAAGCAGCCACGGGCAGTGGTGTGGAGGTTGTTCAAGAGGATGTATGTGTATATATGATTGTCTTGTCGAGGGCGGCAAGAGGAGGATGGGCAGATGGAAAGACTCAGTGGATGATGAGCTGGATGTGAGGCTATTAATGCGAGAGGCTCTGGCGGTTGGGGAGGACATTATATTTATCTCGCCGTCTCAAGAAGCGTCCGCAGTCGTTCGAGTGGAGCACAGACGGACTAGTGTTGGTCCCCAGCTTCAGGCCCTCGCAGGGCAGGCATCCTGGGCTGTCGATGCCGGCTTGAGCACTGCTCAATTTGGTACGGTTTGGAGGGACCCTGGCCGGTGGACATTCACCGACTGCCGTCTTGTAAATTTAGTATGGGCGCTAGCGCAGGCTGGCAGCGGGCCAGTGAGCGTTGGGCTGGCCAGGGCGCGGCAGCCTTCTGAGGCCACGGCAGGGTGAGACGGCGGGCGCATGGGCGTGTACTGAAAGCAACGGGCGCCGAAACGGGCTATTGGGGGGGCGGTGACCATCAGCAGCATGGCTGTCAGGCCTGTCAAGCCCCCAGCAGCCCCCATGCCACCCATGCCACCCATGCCGCCCCTCGACGCGTCTGCCTCTGCCCCCTGCCACCGCCCGCCCTCGCTGCATGCCCGGTGCTCGTCGCCGACAGCCCTACGTCCCTTGGCCGCTCGAGCGTGACGGAACTTCACGCGGCCCCGGCCTGGTGTCTGTGTGCTGTCTCCCTCTCGGTCCCTGCGTGCGGCGTGCGTATGCCTCTCTCCCACACGCCCTGTCCCCAGCCAGCCTGCACACCAGCACCGCGCCCGCCCCTCGTCCGGCCTGCCTTTGCGGGGCCACAGTCGCCCTCGACGCCCGCCTCTCTCTCCCTCTCGCGCCAGCCGTTGCCTCGGCCTCCGCCATGCTGCATGCAGTGCTGCAACTGGGGGCCGCAAGCCAGAGCAGACGCCCCACTTGCTCGTCTTCAGCCCCCCGCCTGCCATTGGCTGCTCCACCACCAGCGCTGCGCTGCCTACGTAGGACGTTGTGCATGTGCAATCTCCAGACACCGCGACCACTCACCGCGACTCGCCCCTCGCAAAATGGCGCTGCCAACATGATGAATTGCTCCGTCTGCCTGCCCTGCCTGCCACTCGACCGTCCGCTCCTGCGTTGTGTTGCGTTGCGTTGCGTTGCGTCGCGGCGCCGTCGTGGAGAATAGAATAGGGAAGGAAGCCCACTCCATACTACTACTTTGCTGTGTGCGACGACCATATCCTCTATCCAGCCTAGCCCCCCGCCAACCAACTTCAGCCCTCGCACCACCACCACCACCACCACCACCCAGGCTGCTTTGTCACCCACTCCCCAACTGGCAAGCTGCGCTGCGCAGCCGACCGTCGGACAAACCCCCCTCCCTCTAACCCACTCGCTGCCTACGCAAGCCACGCAAAGAGCCCCAGAATTTCCCTAGAACAAGCGTCTCACACTTCAGCAGCCCTACGCATCCTCCCATGCTCTACCGCAGCCGCATCAGCACCTTACCGCAGTGTCGATGAGGTAAGGCGAGAAGCCCCCAGGTCTTTTCAGCCTAAAGCTTGTTGCTACGAGGACAATCAACCACCACAGCAATCGGCCAATCACTACCCCAAACACACCATCTGGAAACACTGATAGACGCGCCCTCAGCTCTTTCTATTGATGGCATCGCTCTAGCGTCTCGTCGTGGTACCGCCCACCAACGCTACGCCCTACGCCCAGCGGCCGAGGCTCATCTGCTTCGCCCTCGACGACTGGCTTCCCCATTTACCTCAACTGTCCCAGCCCGCCAAGAGGGTGCTTTGTAGCAGCCGTTGCTGTGCATACTACTTGGCCTTGATGCCGACAATTGCTATCTATGGCTCGGAGAGACTGTACCAATGCAGAAGCGCTTCCCTCATTCTTGTCCCTCGGCGGCTGTGTTCCGGCTTTAGGCCACCCCCCGAAGAGCACATGGAGATTGTGGGGGCCGAATCATGGCAAACAGTTGGCCAATCGAGTAGAGGGCTGGACTTGGAGAGTTGAGACATGTCCGTGGGCCACGATAGCTGAGCAAAAGTGTCTTCCAATCCAAGAGAAATGTGCCCATGTCCATCTGTTGTACATGCCGAAGCCATGCATGTTCCCAAGAAGCGTGGTGGGAGGGCTCTGCCATTTGACACTGCAATGGCCGTGTGTGTGGGGTATGGAGCTCGTCTAGATGGCCATGGATGCACTTTGCCTCAAACATCTGAGCTGGTTTCTCTGGGGCCGGGTGATGGGATCCACTCTACTGCCGTTTGGAGCAATAGTTGTCTTTCAGTAATGACCGGGTTGTGCAATCTACCAACGATACTGCGACACTGCCCGTGCGCAAACACAGGCCCCCAGTTTGAAAAGCTGCAAAAGTTCAAGTGCAATATAGATGTGACTGTCAGGCGCCGGTGGACAGGACATGGTACCGTTTACCCGTAAGAATTGCCAATCGTGGGTTGTAGATTGACGAGAACGTGGGCTGCTGTTGTGGTTGTCTAGACAAGCTTTCCCAGCAGAATGCCTGCCTCCCATGGCCATGGTATCAACCCCCCAAGTCTTTTTTTTGGTTTTCACATGGCCGGTGGCTAGACGAGCACCATTGGCACCTGACCACTTGAATCAAGACCAGTGAGAAGGAGGCAGATGCAACAAAGTCTACGAATAGTATCTTGGTGTTTTGAAACAGTGCATTGCCACCGGGGGGGTGCTGTAGCACTTGTGCTTTGAATTGCGCATCGCATCATGGCGAAGTTACGCCCTGCGCTGCCCGTTGGCGGAGCAAGTCGGGCGCGAAATGGACTTGTGTGTTTGGACAGCGACCAAGAATGCCAGGATAGCTAGCGCAGTAGCCGGATGTCTCGTCTGCTCACTCGTGCGACTTGGTGTTCTGCAACTTTGACTCGTCGCTGTACTAGACATGACTGATGTGGCTCCGGACTCCCGGACTTATCGCAAGTCCAACACGTGCATGCCATGGAAGCCTAATGTACGCGCACAAACGCCAAGCGGGTGCATCTGGCAATAGTCGAGTGCAGCCTTGCGACTGGAGCCTCACCGGTTTGCGGCATGCCCGACTCCAACTATGACGACCAACGCAATGCAACTACAGTCTTGTATACTCGACGCGATATCAGAGTCGGTCATGTCCCGACGGTGAGAGTGCAAGGCGGAAGGACCCCTGTTTTTCCCTATAGCGGCTAGCCCAGCGATGAGCCCTGTTGGCGAGGGCTGGCGGGTAGATGTGATTGGGCAGAAGCAGAGGCGAGACGAGTAGACATGCGTAGGCGACCGTTGTGTCGGGCGTTCCGACCGAATCTCACCGCTGGACGCCATACGTCCATATAGTAGGCTGTGGAGATGGGCATGGCGTGAGTGACCAGGTCAAGTATAGTGCCATACTGCTGGGCCCATTTACTAGCACAGCATCCTTCCTGGAAATTTCCTGGCCACACTATTGCCCAAAACGAGGACAAATTGCGCAGTCGTGGGAAGCAATGTGCTAAAGTGGACACTGGCGCCTCGAACCAAACTACTCTACTCGCATTCGACTTGCGGTTGAAATGAACTTGACAAACTAGACTCCTAACCGCTGGCCAAATGCGTCTTCTGCTAATCCTGTCTCCAGAGCTAGCGGGCAATGACGCCAGCCGCGAGTGCGCTAAATGGTAATTCGCCGGGCAGAGAAAGAGCATACTAGTACGTGGTAGGGCCTATATTTAGCGGCCGCTCTACTAAGTCGAGCCAGCGTTCTGACGACAGCATACCCCTTGACGCACCTTTGCAGCCCTATAGCCCTATGGCATACCCGACAAAGCAGCTGACATGACCATGATTCTGTCCAGCATACCATGCCAGCGACGAGTCCCCTCTTGCCATGGCCGCCGGGTGCTGGTTGCTGTAGTAGCACCTTGGGCCAAGGTCCTGACAAACTACCGTTCATGACACAGACACACACACTCTCTCTCTCTGGAATTAGTTGGTGAGGGGTAGACTATACACGTGTATCCGCATACGGACCAAGCTCGCACGGTATCGAGTTCACCGGTTTCTGGGCATAACCGGCAGGAGGGCACGACCAGTGCGGTGGGAACGCCTACCGCGTCTCTGTACAAGCAGTGGGTAGACGAGACGGACTGTCATTTGCACAGGTCGAGAAGGATGCGAGGGTGTGGTGGGCGTTAGTCGCATATTGGGCAGAATGCAGCAGGCTCGCTTAGACGAGAGGTGTATAACCAAGCGCCCATGGCGCCTCTAGCAGCCACCTTCACCGATAACCATTGGTCGCCTAGCACACGGACGCTCGCCAACGCTGTGCATCCGCACCGGGGGGATAGTCAGGCCTCGTGGCAGTCTGGCAGCAGAGCGTCTCGGCCCTCGACCTTTGGCGACGCCCATTCGCGCAATCGCATCACATTCTTGTTTCCATCACGCCGCAGCCCCCCAAGGCAGAATCAAGGCCTCGATCAGCCGAATCATGGCCCTCTTGGGGGGGGCGCTCCTTCGAGACATGCATGCACTATAGCGTGCTCGAGGATGCAGCATCGTGCAGTCACATTTGCAAGTGGGTCTGTCGGCACAGGCTCGAGTCCAGACACAAAAAAGGGCAATTGTACGACTACACTACTTGCACACTGGCAACACACCAAGCGCGCTCAACGCGAGTAGGCCAATAAAGCGCGGCACAGGCATCGGGCGTCGGCACAGGCAAGCCCGCCCACGGGTTCGGGGGTCCAAAATCGCATCATGGCGCAGTTGACAAATGCTGTGCATAGTTGTGGGAATTCACATTGCGCTTGCAGCGGACACGGCCATGACTAAGACGGTGGGCTGCCGAGTGGCTTGCATCGGCAACTGGCAGTCTTGCTCTTTGCAGTCATCAAAGTTGCGACGGTCATCCCACAACCAGCAAGCGAAAACGAACCCCACCCAGGATTTCTACAACCCATGCAGGAACATTGCCGCAGATATTGGCAATAATGCTGGCTGTTCAAGACCGCGGTTGAGCGAATTCTCCTCACCAACGTTGGGTATGCAATCTGCTGCATAGTACATATTTGCGCTAACATACACATGTACATGGACATTCTAGATGCAGACTAATGTCACGCCAGGTTGGCTTTTTTGCTTATTTCCGTTTTCGCAGAACCTATGCTTTAGAGTGGAGCATGAGTTTGAGGAACGATAGCCCGAGTCAGGATCGTCAAGCCCTACCGGTTGTCAAGTATGTGAGAAGGTATTACGGCTTCGCATGCCATTCGACGCCACATGGAATCCTACTACATGTCGCCTAAGCTGCTAGGCGAATTACTCAGCCAGTGACGCATGTTTGCCTACCTTTTTGCGCACTGCTGCTAGCACGTCACACTCAAGGCAGCAGTAGGGCTGAAGACGGAAACCTACTGAACGAGGCTGTGCGTAGTGGTGCGCTTTGTTTTTTTCTTCTTCTCGACCGGTGACAAAGCAGCATGAAGCCCGCAGAATGGTCGGGCAATGTCGCTCAACAGCGCTGATACATGTGTCGCCAGGCGTGTTGGTCCGTGGATTGTTGCCCGCCCGCTTGCAAGTACACGCTCCTGGCCACGCCTCTGGATACACAATACGCCTCTCGGCCGTCGAGTGTCGGTGACGGACAGATGGTTGTACTGCCATGTGCGTCATAGCGGACTTGTAAACGCCATATCGCTATCGCCGATACCACGAACATCGGACTCGCCCTTCTAAAGTCCGCACCACCCATCGGCCCAGCATTCCATGTTTGGTCCTCCTAGTCAAGGTGTTGCGCAATGGGTTTGAAAGCGGCAGCAGCAGCATCATGGTTGACCCTTGCTCCAAGTGCAAGTGTTCTACAGCCTTGTAGTACCAAAATTTGGCAAGCGGGCTTGGGCGGGGAATGCAGTGTGGTGTGCAGTAGATACGACGAACAGGGGCAGGGGCCGCAGTGGGAGAACAGATCAAGATTCTTTCAGCATGGCCGCAGGTGTATCGCGTGGGAACGAGATGGAATTTGCTACTACTATACGAAGAGGAGCATGTACAACAGTGCAAAAGCATGGGTTGATTGAGTTTTGAGCAAGATGGCAATGGGTGGGCAACCATACCACTTACCCCGCGCTACCCCCTCCCCCTCCCCCTCCCCAGACGGGCGCGAGGATGCAAGTCATCAGATGGTGGGATGGTTGTCACCAGTCGGAATCAGGACTCAAAGAGGCAACATGGTCTAGAATGGTGCATCTCGTGGCAGCCATTGAGGGCTCTGTGATTGCGCCTATCTCTTAGGTGTTAGGTCATGAGGCTTGGGGCGGATGTAACCACATGTGTGTGTGTGTGTGCAGCCAGCGTGGCCACGAGCACGAGCAAGCCGAGGAGCAAGAGGCAAGCAGCAAGACGTCTCTGGCCCAAGGTGACGCAAATAGGTCTGGATACAGGCTACCACGCACACGCAACAGGTCGGGTCCTGAAATGGAAGCATGGTGCGAAATGCTCGCTTGCTACTCGTGCCTTTTCAGCCTCTGGAGGCGGGGCAGCGACTGCGCCATGGAGCGTCCAAGCCAATATGATAGATGGTGCTAGCAGTAGTGGTGGGAGTAGCACATGTGGCTGCTTTGATTTAGAACAGGCCTAGCAAGCTCGGTGTAGGGCCAAATAACCACCAACAGCCGCACTTTGCATCCCCACGCACGACAAGGAGGACGACGGCGGATCAACGTGGGGCGCCGACTGTCTCGGCAGGGCCCCACGATGGAGTTGAGAGAGAGAGAGTGAGTGAAATGGCGGCGGGTTGGGCGTGCAGTCTGCGCGAAACATGCCAGAAACAGATGGAGGCAGCCACCAGGACCTGCCGGACAGTCGGGAGCCGGCTATGGTCACGTGAAGCCGCAACACGCGGCACGGAACCAGCTCCGAGGGGCGCAGCTGGACGCAGCACGGGCTGGTTAGTGTGCAACGATGTGGTGGCGCAGGCATCATCCGCGGGCCCAACCGTGCCTTGTCTACGAGGTTGTACCTGGTTGCCAGACTCACCCTACCTACCGCTCTCTAGCCCAGTGCCCACGATGCCCACGATGCCCACCTGGGGCGCCCTTGTTGTCGCGGAGAGTTGTACGGCTTGGCTTTGGCCAGACCAACAAACAGCAGGCTGGTGCCGCCTCTTGCAGCCAGCCATGCGTGTCCGCTATGTAAACCGTGTATACTTGGATATTCCAGCCTGTATGTGCATCCATCCATACATTGGTGGTACATGCAGTCTGTACACCTCCCCGGTCGTTGGTGATCCAAGCGCGTGGCTGGCCAGATGTGCTTACATACGCACTTTGCCTGCTTACTTACATGGCCGCGCAAAAGCTCTCTACTGACCGCCATGGAAGCTTTGGCCCTGTCCCCTAGTGCCGGTAACTATCGCAAGCCGCTAAGCACTCAATCCATCCCTCTGCCTTGTCTTCAACGGTCGTTCTGTCGGAAATTCCACCTTCTAAAATTCCATCTTGGCACGCATTCACCATCTCGACACCGCCTGATTAAGTTTGGCCACCTTTTGGCACACTAGACGTTGCACCGTCTTGCATATACGTCCCGTCCACACCAGCCGCCACGGACTGTGTACGCCGCGTACAAGAGGCAATTCCCGCTGCATGACGAGTAGTGTGTATCTAGCCGTGTGCATGTGTCCAAGTCCACTCGACAGCCATTGCTGGTCAGCCTTGGATTCCCACGCTAGCCGGACCAGCGACGTGCAAACGAGCTGACCAATGACCAGCCACCAAGAAGCTCAGAGAGCCTGCGCGGAAACAAAGGACACTAAGCCTCCTTGGGCCAGTGCGCATCGCACTGAACGCCCGCAACGCTGTCTCAATCAGGCAAAGCGCAACTCCCCCCTGGCGGCCTTCATTTTGGTTCGTGCCAGCCCAAGCCTAGGGCTGGGTAGATAGTTGGCCATTTGCAACCATGGGCTCGCATTCCATGTACCTACCATGCATGCACGCAGGGCCACCGGAGCCCGAACACGAAGGGACGAACAGCTGGTCGGGTCCGACAGGCCTCTTTTTCCTCCTCTCCTGATTGTAGCAGCACACGCTGCATGTCGCCCACCGAGCCGCTTTTCACAGAGCCGATTGTTGGAGCCGTTTGTCGGGTTGCAGTGACCTTCGCGTTCAACTGCCATGACTGCCAGGCGCTGTCATGGGTGCGTTTTATTACCCCGGATTGCTCCCACGTTGGCACGTTTGAGTAGCTGGTCAGCACTCAAATTGGGCCGAAAGCGATTGATTGACCGGGGGGGGAACCTGCTGCCTACTCCACGGACGGTTGCTCGCGCAAGGGCTTACTGATCTGATGGTCGCGAACGTTGTAGGGCTGAGGACATGTCTTATGCCGTTCCCTCCACGCGGGGGTTGAGCCAGCGGGCAGTCTGACATGTCGCTCACCCTTCTTTGGCTCTGATCTCGCATCCCACATGCAAATCGTACATGACGTTATCCAGGAATAAAAATAAATACACATGCCAGCAAAAGGTGCATGTAGCAAATCTTGTCGCCTCTCCTGTGCTGTGCCGTCTAGCTGCGCGTCGCTCCGAATACAAACCCGCCTCGACGCATTTCAAACACATGTACTCGACATCCATGTCTGGAGAGGGGGCACGCGCACACAATCATAATGCACAAGCACTTCGATTTTCTTCTGCACTTTACGGAATGCGCCATAGTCGACGTGCATACCCTGTCACGGGATCTTTCCAGGTGAAACACGACAGAAGCCCCCTATACCTAAAGCCAGGACAGCCCGGTGACACTTCCACTCCTTTCCCTTCTCCCAACCGCCGTGTCGGCCATTTCGGCGCAACCGACAGGACCGAGTTCCGATTGTCTCTCAGTCGCTCAAAACGGGCGCACAATCGTCGCTGGCCGGATGGTCCGAGTCGTGCCACCTGCAAATCCGGCCCTTCCGTTCGAGTGATTTGCTCCGTACCGTTGTCGCGCCGGCATATTCCACCACACCAACACACAACGACACGGACACAGACTCGGAACAGAAGGTACACGCACACACACATGCTGGCTGCGAATCTGATCATCAGGGCTAGCAATCGCAAAAAAACTTGGCGCTTCCCAAACCATCCAACACGCTACCCAGTGGATTAAGTACTACGCAACTGCCGTCCAGCCCTAGGTCGATCACTTGGTAGAAATCGCTCCGACTGCCAGTGATTTTCCTGCGCGCTCCCTTTTTCTCTCGCTCTATTCGCGCCGATGAAGACGAGAAGATGCGGTGGGCAGCAACACACACAAACACCGTGCACGCACACACGTACACACACACTCTCTCTATGTGCCTTGCATTTCAGTTCAATTGACCAAATCGAGAGATATGAGACACAAGTCGCGGAGAGTAGTGCGATAAGGATTGAGTTCGGTGTCTCATCAAAGCAATAGCAATATCACAGTCATGGCTTTTTTACGGCGACTCTAGTAGACGGGCTGGTAAATTGTCACATCACGACAGTAAAGCGGTCAGTCAGGCTGTGCGTTGGATTCGTGGTGACATTTCAGGAGGGTCACAGATAGTGCAACGCGTTTAGGTTAGAATGCTATGTCTATTTGTTCTTCGGTACCTGACAGCCCCGTGTACAGCACATTCGTGTGCATACAGCCAAAAAGCAGGCTTTCCGTATAGCTGGGACGTTGGGAAGCGTCCGTTATTCAACACAGGGCTCTAGGCCTAATGGTGGACCGGGGGGGTTGTTGCTCTTCAGCAATAATAGGGCCGGTTTGGACCAAAATCACAGGTGGTCCTTGACCGTGTTCGCGCTATTTGCTGAGGGAATTTACTTACCGCTTCATCACCTTTTTTTTGGGGGGGGGAGGAGCCCCATCAACCCACCTCTCTCAACTGCCGTGATACCTATCCTGTTCGTAACATCGTGTCAGAGTTTTGCCAACGGTCAAACAACAAGAAAAAAAGCTCGGGTCCTTTTGACAACTACCGATCCGTATTCCCTTTCCACCAAAATGGGAACGAACGAGTCTCATGTTGGAAAGGGAGAGATGATGTGGCATGACACGCATCATGAGGGCAATCCCGCGTCTCGAAACAACACATTGACCCTCCCTTTTACCTCGACTCATGAGAGAGGAGAGGGAATTCCCGCCCTAGTGTGGTAGTTCCTTGTATCGTGAACTGATCGAAAGTTGGAAACCAGTTGGACATTTACTAACTACCCATAATCAACCATCCTTGCGAAATTCCCTAGCACCACCCCCCTCCCCCCTTCCATTTGCTCTAACCTCCTTCATGCTTAGTAAAGTGGGTAGATTTGGCAAGTTAGCGTCACAAGAAGTAGCGTAAAAAACCAACAATAACAAGCCTTTTTGACACGTAGCCAAGCCTTCCCCCAAGCCCAATCTCCACACAAACTAACTCACCTTTGTGTCAATCCTCGTCCCTTGCTGTCATCAACTAAATGGATGTGCAAGCTTACCTACCTAACATCCCTCAACGTCCTTCATTAATACACACACCCCTACTAATACCGCCCAGAAAAAAAATCCCCCATCGCCCCATCGCCCCATCGCGTGACATACTGTATAATTCTTCATTCCTTCTAGAAGGTCCAAACCCCCCTCCCATGCCCTAATAGAAATAAATCAGCCACCAATCCATATCCCGAGTCAAATAACCAAGCAAGCATATTTCACGACTCAAACCCACACCCCCGTGCGCCTCATATTTATACGTTCATATATATTCCACCGGAGAAAAACCCTCAACCTTCCCTTTTTTTTTTAAAAAAAATACCACTTACTTAGCAACGGGGAAAAAAACCCCCGTGCCAAGTCAGTCATTCACTATCCCAAGCGCAAAAAAAAAAAGCTATCCGCTACCCGTCGCTCTCATCCCTCCGGCTCCTTCTATTACCAAACGCAGTCTGTGTGTTTTTCCCGTGCTTTTCCTTCCCTGCGATTCATGGAAGAGAGGCAGCGGCAAGAAAAAAAAAAGACCACCACGTACAAACATGCTCAACCCTTGTTTCCTGGGCTATTGTTCCAACGACCGCTTTTCTCGTCTTTGCTCCTTCTATCGGCCAGACCGAAGGGGAAGGGGTCGCACAAGCCCTTTCCCCCCTTCCCCCATCCCCAATTCAGTTCTTTTTTTTTTCGTCTTGCTTGCAAAAATCCTTCTAGAGGGGGGGGGGGGGGGTGTTTCCCTCGCCTTAGTCTCGTGGGCATCGCAAAGAAAGAAGCAATAGTTACTACGTACTAGCAAAATAGTACCATGATCGATCGTCATCTCCCTTACTATATCCAAGCGCAGCCCCAGCCCTGTTTCTGTCCTTGCCTTAGCATCCCCCCCCCCACCGCACCCACCTTCAAACGGCCGCGCCTTACGGCCCGTGGCCCTTTACGACCTTTTTCCCCTTCTCGCGACAATGACCAGCAAAAAACGCTCAGACCAAGGGTAGTAAGCAGCTGGACAATGGGTTTAGGACTGGGCTGGGCTGTGTGTGTTCGCGTATGTAAGATTCTCTTGTGCGCGTTGTGATTCGTGGGTTTTTGAACTTCTTTCCTGACGGAGAAGAAAGAAGAAGAGATCGCGGGGGGAGGGGAAGGGGGGGGATATGGGAGCGCGCCGAAAAAGAGTTAACGCTTGTTAATAACCCTTGGAGGGCACTTTTTTAGCGGCAGATGGGAACGGGAAGGGGGGGGGGGGGGGAGAGAGAAGGGGAGGATCGGCAAGATCTTACTGTATGTGTGCACGGCCCTGGGGGCTAGGATGGGATATGATGGGCTGGGCTGGGGGTGTTTAGGGGGGGCGGTGGCGTGGAGATGTGGGATGGATTGAGGGAGGAAGGGTTTGGAGGATTAGTGTACACCGCTAGTGCCGTACTTGCTTGCGGATGAAGCTGGCGGTGATGATGATGATGATGATGATGGTTTTTTCTTGGTTGGCATGTACTTGTGCCACGGGGGGTCGTGGGGAGATTACCAAACAAGGGCTATAGCTCTGTCTCCTTCAACCCGCGCGCGACCGTTCTTCTTTTTTTAAATTTCGGGGCGATGGTTGCGACATGGAAAAAAACGGGTGATCGCTTAGTGCATGTGCGCTTTTTTTTCTTCTCTTTCCTTCTTGCCTCTTTTAAGGCTATACGTGTTTTGGTGTTGGTGATTCGTTGTCTCGTGTTTTTCTATGGTTTTCTCAAAGTGGTTAGTAGGGAAACTGATTCATGGTGTAGATCCTTAGTCTAGCACAGTCCTTTCTCTCGGCTTTCAGGAGACCGAAATATCCGGATTAGAAAAAGTGAAACCCCTTCCCATTGAAGTCGGAAACAGATTCTCCCTGCTCCGAGGGTATACGTGTAAAGCTTGCTTGAATCCTTTGATGCTGCAGCTATGCAAGTAGTATTATCTTGCTTAATATGTAATTTGTTATACGTAAATGCAGAGTTGACGTGTATATTTTGTGGAGTTTTTTGTTTGAAGTAATATAGGTGGCTCAGTTCGGTGGGCTACGTAGGGCTAGCCCTCTCGGCCTTGGTAGTAATCCGGCTTCCCGAGTTGACCGAGAGCCCTACCATAGCAGTGCAAACTACACAATCAAGTTAACACCACACATTGATACCTATGTCAATGTTCAAAGCACACAATCAAGCAATAATCTACTTTGCAAGAATTCTCAATCTTCTACACAATTCATACCGTTCTGTGCAGTGATTGAAGCTGTGATTTGGGTTCATGTTTGGCGTAATCTTTATCCGGCTACGGTGTCGGTGTCGGGTAGTCTGAAAGCTTGATTGTCACGTGTACTTAAGATGCCTGCTGTTTATCTTTAGTACCTGTGCCTGTATGTCTAGCTTGCTAGTTTAGTTGCAGCCACAAAGACGGGCTCGGAGGTATGTATGCGCATAGTCTTCCCGAAGGATTGACATTGATGGATCCATTCCTACCGGCCACGTGAGGCCGCTCCGTTTTCTCTCTTCTTGCACGGCCTCAGACTGCCATACTCCTAGCCGTGCGATCCGATTTACGGTAATTTGCAAATCCGATATTGTTCGGCTCTTGTTCTGCGTTGCCTGGATTTTTCGCTTCTTCGCCTTTTCTTGGAACTTGCACTACCTACTACCATATGCTGGGAACCAGCCTTGCCAAGCCTTGATACCTAAGACAAATCGCTGTTGCATTGCGTTCGTCGTCGATGTTCGTTGGGCCCAGCCGGCCCCAAGACGCCGCACGGAGGCTTTTGTGCCGTGTCCAAGACACATCTAAGCCCCCATCCCCCTTCACTTTTTCCCCTCGGTGATCGCGATCGCGATCGCGATTTCGAGATTGCATCGATGTCGCATGTAATGTCTTAGGTGGGTTTGAATTGCACAAGTCAATAACGCCGTTGTACCGCAACGGCACGATATATACGCCTATCCCTACTATCTATCCGTATCGTTCCGCTCATCTGGTTGCTTTCTTGCTTTCTGAGTGCCTGAGTCAATTACTTGATGGACTCGCGCACGTGGAAGTCGACGTACTTCGATATAGACGTACGTACTGTGCCCACACGCCTTCGTTTACCCCTATACACCCTTGGAAGTTACCAAATAGGCGCTTTGTTACAATACACAGTAGTTGCGAAGTCGTGCCTCGGCTTCCCGCGTAACCTGCCTTTTGAGAGAGAGAGATAGTCTTTGGTATTTTTGCCACCCCGAAGCTTCGTACCTTTCCACATGTTTTGCCCTGCGTTTGCCCCACATGCATAGTTGACATGTTCGAGATGCAAAGGAGGTGGGGCAGTACCTGCATGTCGTGTTGCGGTCGCGCGTACACGGCGGGGTGTGGATCGGCGTGGTAGTGAGGCTAGTTGTAGTAGTATATTTGGCTGAGGAAAGATGGGCGAGGCGTTTGGGAAGGGAGAAAGGGGTTGTTGAGTAGATTCGGGGATTGAGGATGTGGACATGTGGATCTCGGGATATGTGTGTGCAAGTCCTGGTCGCTCTTGCATGTAGGAAATACTAGCTTGTTCGACTTGCTCGGTATTCTGTTTAAAGCATCCTGAAGGTAAAGTAGGCAGGTTTGCCAGTGCAGTGATACGTGGCTTTGTTGTGCATAGATTAGAGGTGATTCAGAGTTTCTGTCATTTTTGGAATCTTAGTCGACACTGGATGCTTGGGAGATCTTCAGTGACTCCTTTCATTGTCGGAATAGTACATGGTTGTATAGCTGATATCTATTATAGTCACGTGATATTGTCTGCGTGTATTGCGTGATTAGTTTTTTCCTCATAATGAGCGTGGTTGTATCACGCGATTATGGATTTGTTGCTTAGTGCGGAGAATGATAGTAGAAAACATTAACTCACTGCCCTTCCATGAGGTCGATATCTCGATTGTTAACTATGAATTTCAAAATATTTGTCCTGACTTCTGGCTGCTGGATTGTTTTTGAGCTGTTTCTTTTACATATGCTGCTTGATGATTGGATTGATATTATGACTACTACTCGTGTGGTTCAGGATTCACACAACCCGCCATTCGCGTTGTTTGTGCTATACACTTTTGCAGAGGTGTGATAATATTATTAAATTAAAAACTTAAATCTACAAGTGGATCAATAAGCATTTATTGAGTCTGGACACTGATAGCAATTTTTCGAAGAGGTCATTGTAACCTTTTAATAAATGAATATATTTCAACACACAAACCAGACAACAATCCCCATAACATACACCCGTTTACTCGCTACCTTTGAATTCCGCGCATCTTTTTCTAGAAACAAAAAAATACTAGTATGAACCCAATCAAAATAGTGTACGTAGAGTTGTCTCATTACGCCCACACCAACAACAACCTAACAACCAACACTGCGCATTCGCCACTCAACAAAATCCCACCAGCCCACCAATCCCCGTAAATACCATTTCCATTTTATAAAAAGATCATGCCTTACAAAGCCCGATAGCCGAGACACTAAAACACTAGACTGGACGCCTGAGCTGAACGCCTGAGCTGAACCGAACAAAACTGAGAGCTGCTGACAAGAAAACATTCTTGAGCACATTCTCCACACAGCCACCCTCCCCTCCGCCCCGCAGCAAGCGCTGGTGGCTTGGTTTCTATTTTCCTTCTTTTCTTCTTCTTCCCCGTGCACTAAGAGAGCGTCGCGTGTTGTGCGCATGGATAACAGACGAGTTTTTTGGGGGCTTTGCATCGCCCATGGGCTTAGCCCGCATTGCGCAATCCGCCTTACCTACGTACACGTATTTGCTTTTTCTCTCTCTCACATCTCCACATGTTTTCTTAATTCCCGGGACACGTGGGCACTTGCACTAGCAAGTGAAAAAAAAAGGAAAAGGCAGAGAAGAAAAAATACCGGAAGAGCGGTCATGGACAGAAACAGTCTAAACTAACAAGCCTCAGCCCTCCCCCCCCCCAATCTTTCTGCATACGTAGGCACTCGTAGTTTTTTTTCTCCCCTAGTTGGGAAGTGGGAGTTGTGTTTTTGCGTGGTTTATTTCGGACTTTCGCTGCTGGATAATATTTCTGCCCTACAAAACCGAGTTTTTTTTGGGGAAAGGAAATGAGAACGATGTAAGTATGCCTCTTTTCCCCACTCCTCATTACCAAATATCACAAGACATATCATCCACACACACATCACACCCTCGCCTCAAACGCACCAAAGCACTATCTTTGCATCACTCCTCCCTGGAAAGCGGGCACACCCTTGCACAACATACCCACGAGGCCCATGTTTTCGCGCATTTAGACCTTTCTATTCGCTGGACTTGTGTTTGAGATGTGTGCGACGTAAGTGAGTCACATGCCGCCATGTCATATGGGTAGTACAGATGAAGCGGGAGGGGGATGATGATGATGATGTGGCGAGCTGCATATGTTGTGTTATCGGAGTACAGCGTACTGGGTTTGGTAAGGGAGGTGGAGGGTGGTAATAGATGGGTATAGTAGTAGTAGTTAGTGGATGTGATTGCGTGTGTGTGTGTGTGTGTGGGACGTGAACGAAGGGGTGGTAGCACATAACCTATTACTAGTAGTCTCAGATTTCTTTTCTTAACGGTAGATATATAGCAGGGTGTCCCCTGGGTGAAAACAAAAAACCAGCTCATATGACATCCATGTGCATTTCACATGGACTGCCTTCCAACTTGTCCTTGCGTCTCTCCACCCGAAATGCATTTTCTAGATCCACGCCGACGACGCCTGCGGGCCACTCGATCAAGCCCCAGTTTTCGCGACCGAGAGTCATTGCCACGGCTGTGACGATGTCGGCGCCTAGCCCTTCGAGCCACCATACGTTTCGGACTCTGCCTGGCAAAATGGCGTAGTGTGCGAGAATGACGAGTGCATGTGCATTCTTGGACTCGACGAGGTTGATAAACTCTCGTGGAATGCGAGCCGCCCAGACGAAGATTGCGCCGCGATCTGTAAGGGTGGAGATGGTGTTGTCGTCAATTGAATATGGAACTGCTGACATTGGCGGGAAACGTTCGGGCAGTGTCAGTTGACTAATCAAGTTGAAGCTTTGGCGGAGGTAGAGTAGTGCTTGAGAGAGGCAGACGCAGTGCGGTTCCAAAGGATCCTTTCCCTCCGTCCATAACTTCTCAATCTCTAGTAGGAGTTCATCTTCCAAGACTGCGCGCGGTGTTGCAGAAATGTTGTATTCTGGCCACCATTCTCGTGCAGTGACTGGATGCATTTTACTTCCCACCACCCAACTCCATCCTGATAGTAGGACTGTTAGGGGACCGCGGAGTCCCCATATCGTGCGCAATGCACATGATAGCATCTTGTCGACTATCTCTGGTGACGGTGTGGTCGCATCCGATGGGATTGAAGCACGGAGGTTCTCAAAATCGATTGATGCTGTGCGAAAAAGATACACAGCTGTGAATGTTGAACTAGCAAAGAGTGCCGCAGCGTTGCTCTCTGTAATGTTTTCCAACTCAACCCGATACTTTGTTAGAGCTTTGTTCATTCGTGCAGCCGCTAGCGTATTCATCTTCTTTTTGGCTTCCTTGTTTTCGTGAAGCCGACCGAGATGCAGCGAAGCGACTGATAACACACAGTTTGTGAGGAATTCATGGCTATGTGCCATTTCAGGAATATACGATTGCCATGCTGCTTTTGCTGGATCGTCGTTTGCGAGAGTAAGGGAAGTGGTGAATTCATAGTGACACAGAACCTCTTGCAGTGGTGGCGGGAGTAATTCCCGGATATCTTTCCAGGCATCATACGGACGAAGATACGGTGGTATGCTGATATCGAAAAAGGCTGTGGGATGTAAAGAAAGCCGGGTTTGAGAGACCGAATCGTCGAGATAAGAATCTTGGAGTGATATCTCAGTTTGACGGGGTGTTTGTGTTGCAAGCGCGACCTCATTGCTAAAAGCCGCGAGGTTTGTTGGAGAATGTACTGGTATCGATTGAGGCTTTGGAGTCTCAGGTTTAGGCGACGGTGATACGTCTTGCGGGCGCTCAGGACTGGGTGATGTTGAGCTTGTCAGGAGACGCGAAGACGGTACCAGTGCCAAGAAGCTACATTTCTCGCCCTTTTTGTCGCAATTCGCGCACGATGGATGCTTAGTATCACACTGATGGACTGGTTAGTATTAGGACATCCAATACCTTTTCCTCGAAAAGATACTCTCAGATCACGGTACTTTTCACGGCCAGGCTTGTTTGTGGCTTTTGCGGATAGTTACTAGTATGCGCACTCTTGCAAATACTTGCCTATGCGCTCCAGTACTGCTGTAGCGGCTGTGAGTGTATGAACGCCCGCTACATGTAGCGTTGTGCATGTATGCATATACGCGTGTACATGATTTGGCGTGCACTGAGCATATCGGCTTCACACGGAAAAGATGATAGTACGCGATAGTACAAGTACTTACTTTTATCCGTCGCCTCTTGCATTGGTGACATCCTAACCTCGTCTTGTTGTGTGATCTCCTTGTCGCCATCGGGGTTTGGCGTAAAGCCAAGAGTTATACGGTCAATACGGCAAATCAACTGCTGACGCAAGAAACCACTCTTGGTGTTCGGACCGCAAGATGCATGCAGACGCGTTGAGGTCGCAAGCAGCGTGGCAAAAAACAACGAGACTACCGAGTACGCTGTTGAAGCATACAACGCAAGAATGGTGAATTCATGGGAAAGTGTTTCGTGGGTGTACAGCTGTGACATTTCCCCACACGGCCTGGAGCTAACCTTAGCGGGCAGTTTTCGTACTGCGCGCCCCATGATTGGTCGAGACAAACAGCAGGATGCCTCGCCGTTCCGGACGAGCTTGCGCATGACGTACAGTCGATCCGCCTCGCCACTCTCTTCCAACATGTGATGCTAGACACGGTTTCTACTATCTAGTTTGTTTTTATTCTTGCTTCTGTTACGGGCAGTTTAGTGCCATGCAAATGCATACGTATCTACCAAGCGTGTAATCATGTACAAGGCACAACCACCTGCCTACTTTGTCTCGACGCAACGCTCATCAAAGAGCTTGCAGCTCAATTCTTGAAGACAACAGCTGCACTCCAGCGACTGGCAGCCTTCCCCCTGTAGTCATCCTTGACTCCCTGCTCGCTCTTCCACTCACTGAGCAATGTCAGTCCAGCCTTCGCCTCTTCGATCGTCATGGTTGGGAGATCCAGTGTCTTTAGCAGGTCCTGCTCATTTTGCGATTTGGAGCTATTGTCAAGAATGTAACGGACATTATATCCGGATTGGAGGTGCAATGCGCTCTCCGAGTGCTTCTTCAAAAACTCGTCGTTGTAAGCGTTGAGGTCAGTATCCGCGGGTGGTGCGGTGAAAGTGGCTTTGATGACCTCTGATGCTTGAGAGGAGAGAGGCTCGACGGGTTTGCTGACTGCTAGCTGTTAGCAACACGCTCCATGGTGATGGGCCTGTTGGGACATACTGGCTTGGCGGAAGCGCACACTCTGTTCGTGTAGCTTGGGGTTCTCCGGATCAATCTCACGTGCTGCTTGTAGACACTTGAGAGCGAGGAGGTACTTGTCTGATATACTGTTAGCATAGATCGAGATGAAAAAATGCAGGAATCACAACAGCATACTTCTTCGGATATAGACCTCAAAGCCCACATTCTGAGCCTTGATGTTCTTCGGGGCCAACTCGAGCATGGGCTGTAGGAACCGTAGGGCATCTTCTAGAGGCTGCTTGGTCTGAAGCAGCTTCTCGCCATTTGGATCGGTATCCTCTTTCTTGGTGTCGCCATCTTCCCCCTTGGCTGTTGCCTTTGCAGCTGCAGCTGCTTTCCGCTCTGCCTCTGCCTTCTCAGCCTTTTCCCTCTCCTTCTTTGCCTTCTTCTCAGCCTTCTTGCGCTCTGTAGGATCCAGCTTGTCTAATTCGAGCTCATCTGCATTTGACATCTTCGGGTTGTCTGCTAACCGGACATACAGCTCGACTGCTTGGGTGGCTGCCCTGGTGAAGAATGGGTGATCGCGTAGGTGGTCCTCCCATCTGATCATGTCAATGTAGGCGCGGATCTGTCCTTTTCGTAGTGAGAAGCTATGGAAATCGAATTGGTCCTCGTGCCAGACATCGAAGATGTCCGCGATAGCTGTGAAGCGCTTCAGTGCGAGACCGTATTTCTCTTGTCGCAGATAAGCCTCTCCGTCTTCAATCAGATACCACATACACTGCATGTCGTGGAGATCACCGAGCGGTCCACCTACAGCCTCATTACGGGTGAACTTGCTCATTGTGTTGAGCGCATTCTCGTTTTCGTTGTTGCGTAGCTGATATTTGGCGCACTTGGTGTTGATGTATCGATCCCTCTCATCAAGCTGTCTCGCATGGTTCATCGTTTCCGAAGCTTTCTGGGCATCGCCGGCGTGCTTGTAGATCCGTGCTTTGGTTTGACTATAATCGACCGACTTTGGATCCATCTCAATCAACTTGTCTATGTATCCCATGGCCTTGTCAAGATCACGACTTAGGACGTAGTTGTAGTGCTGGGCGAGGAAGTACAGCACAGACTGTTCGAATCGATCGGTGGTGTTGCCATTGCTCTCATTTTCGGCAGAGCCGTTGGTCTTCTTCTCTGATGCATAGCCAAGCACAAGTTCCTCAATGACTGCCTTTTTTCCCTCGTCACGGTAGAGTGACTTGATGTTTGGGAAGGTTGAAGGCACACCCTTGTTGAGCATCCTTCGGAGGTATTGGTCCACCTGTGTCTTGAATGCCTCACCCTGAAGGAAGTCCAATGGTATGCGCCTTGCAGCATCGTTGCGCTCGTTCTTGCTGGCAAATGATTGATACAGTTCGTTCAGTTTCTCAATATCGGCGTCGTTGGAGCGATCCAGACCCAAGGCCTTTTCTAGCCCTTCGAAGTATCCTCGGTACTCGTTGTTTCTAGTCAATAAGACCCGGTAAGCCTTCTCGGCCTCTTCCTTGCGCCCAAGTTCGAGTAGGTATTTCGCCCTCAGCTCCAACGCGGCGCGTCGATCGAGACTGACCCTAACCACCTCGTCTATGTGTTTCAAGGCACGCTCCACGTCGCCAGATTCGTAGATGATCATGTTCTTGTATAGAGTCGCTTCGGAATGTTCGAGGTCGGATTTGGGCGGAGGCTGCTTCAGCGTCTCCTCGTAGGTCTTGAGGATATTTTCTGCTTCGGTGAAATTGCCTGAAAGATGGTAAGCAACGGCCAAAGCAGTCCAGTTCTGACGCAATTGTGGTCGCTCCTGCATCATCTTGCGCCGACTCTCAATATATCCCTCGTAGTCGCGGACTTGGCATTGAAGGAGGGCGAGGTCGCGGAGAATGTTCAACGAGCCTGGCTCTAATCGCAAAGCCATCTTGTATGACTTGATGGCTTCAGGGTAGTTCTTGACTGAGCGCCACAGTAAACCGTAAACGTGCCAGCAGATGTGCGACTTCATGTCATTTCGGAGGGCTTCTTTGCAGAGGGCAAAGGCTTCGTCGCCCTGATTTATGGAATTGAGGATCAGGGCCTTCATCGCTTGGGTGTCGCCATGGGTGGGGTGCTTCTTCAAGATCTGTTCGGCAGCCTTGAGGCCTGGCGGGGTCAGCAATGCCATACGTTGCCCTTGCACTGCAGCCTACCCTTCTTGTACAGCTTGCCCTCGTAGTACTTGACAAGCGAACGGAAGAGCGTCTGCTCCTTGCTGGGCAATGGCTGCGGCATGGTGACGGTCGTGTGAGGTGTGCGCGGAGCGTTATTGATAGTCGGCCGTCGAAAAGCTTCCGTTCGGAATTAAGAAATGGATTCGATTCAACCTCGCGACCGGGCCGGGGGAGGTTAGGTGGGGATTCGAGATGTTTAATCGATACAGTGTGTCATGGCGACACGGCCCTTTCGGCAAGCAACTGTGGCACTATGGCTGGCCTGCGCTACGTGAGAATGTGGGGAGCTCTGAAATTCAATGTCGGAGTGTTCGATTCGACCGCTAGCGCACCTCGACTTCGAACTGCACGTGCGCGTTCTGACACCCCGCCTACACAACCTCTTACAGCAGCCATTTCCATGCGCATTTGAAACCTTGGTAGTAGGTTTACAATCATTCAAAAACACAAAATTTCTTCCGCTATCTTACAATCAAACTGTACAAAACAACATTCCAATAAACCGTATTCGCCCTTACCTAGACAAGCGTCCTGACCGCCGTCTTCCTGTTGTATCATCACTCGTTTTTCCCTCTTTGGCAGGAGCTTTGTTCTTCTTTGCTGTGCCATTAGCAGTCGTCTTGCGCTTCTTAGCGGGCTGTTGCTCCTCAATGTCACCACCAGTCTCTGCTTCCATCTCCTCTTCGACTTGTTCTTTGACCTTCTTGCTAGCACGATTCAGTTTTGCTGGTGCGTCTTCTTTAGAAGCATCTTCTGTCTCTTCTTTAACCTTCTTCACATTCTTAAGTTCGCCTTTGGTCTTAGCAGGTGTCTTCTCCTCAACTTCTTCATCTTCCTTCTTGACTGCTTGAGCCTTCCTCTTGTTGCTCTTCTTAGGCTTCGTATTCGCCTCACTGTCTTCAGCCTCTGCGTTGTCGGAAACATCACCAGCAACAGCTGCTGTCTTCTTCTGGACACTCGGCACAATGGCCGAAGTCCGACCACCGACCTTGAGGAACGTAATCTTCTCGCCGGTCGGTAGTTTGCTTGCCTCTTTCTTGCCTTTTCCCCAACGATGCTTCATAAGCCAGTCTTGAGGAAAACTATCTGAATCTCCATTGGCTTGTACAGCAGTGTCACAGACATACATCATCGCGTCATGTAGCCGTTTTACTTGTTCGTCGCTGAAGGTATTGCTGTACTGCTCGGGATGTAGTTTGGCTTGATACATTATTTCGTCACTGCTAATGTTAGTGGTGCTCCCAGTCTATTTTGCAATGAACATACCCAACCCAGTTCCCTATGCCTGAGATGTTGGCTACGTAAGGGTCAGATGGTACGTTATGTCAGTGACATGGTGAGGAGATGCGAACCTTGATCCAACAATAAAGCTTTCACAGGCACCCTCTTACTCTTCAGCTTCTTACTCAGCCATTCAACAGTCAATATATCCTTGTCAATAACCGGGTCCGGACCGTTCTCTTTCAGTGGAGTTGTCTTCCTCATATCTTCGGCAGCAGCATCTACCAGCCTTATCCGAGCTAGTCGTCTTGCGTCCACAAAGGCGACCTCGTTTTTGGGCTCTTCTTGCAGTTGCAAGATGAATTTCCAGTACTTGGGTGGCCACTCTGCTTCCTCGGGTTTGGTTGGACGGTAGTATGCGGTTTCGTCATTGCTGAACTTCATCCAGCCAGACATGCCAAAATGCATCAGAGGGTGCGGCGCCGTGTCCATGACTAGCCAGAAGTACTTGCCCTGCTGGCGTGCATCTAGAATTTTCTTACCGGACATGGCTTTTTGAAAGGCTGCTGCAGAGGTTCCAACCTTTCCGTAGACAATCTGGATGAATCCATTATCAGATGCTTTCGTGTAGATGAGACGGCACTAAGCGCACATTGTCTTCTTGGGTTTTCACCGCTTGTATGGTCTTTCCGACAGCATGTTTCTTCAAGAAATGCACAATGCGTGCCACTTCTGCAATCTGAACAGTGTTAGCAGGTGTGATACGCGCGCAACTATGTAGAACGCGTCCCTACCTCGGGCATCTTGATAGTCAGACAGAGTCTTCTTGCGCTGAACAATAGGTTGCGATGAGATCTACAATAACACCGATATGATGATTTACACGGACTACTGAGGACGTGATTGGGGAGTTGCGCTGAGCAGTACCTTGGATGGCGAGGGTGGAGGCTTCGCGTAAGACGCGAAGGCGCGTCGTCACGGGACGAGCATGCATCACGTCATCACTCAATTTCGTCTCGCCTTGCTGTGAGAACGACTCTTGTTGCTCTCCACCTTCACATCCCTCATTAGTCTCTCCATGCAAGCCCTAGACATCGAGTCGAGCTATTTCCATTCTCTCTAGGCGACTACGGATGGACTTGCCTTTCTGGGCTGCCCCGCTACGCCGTTGGCAACATGACCAGGACTGACGATAACGCGATTTTACATAATTGTCCGCCCTAGACGCCAGTCTACGGGTATTTGAACTCGATGGCTGCACTGTTTTATCTTGAAATACTACAATGCACTGATCATGCGGTGGAACTGGATCACTCCATTTGCCTATGCGGCCCATGTCTCCGCGCATGGAGCCCACCACACTGAGGACAAGGGTTCGTTCTCTCAAGAGCGGCTAGACGAGCTTGAGAGGAAGTGGGGTACAGATGTAAGCATTCCAAGTGACGGTACTTGAATACAATTGACAGTCGCTTAGTGGGGCTTCTCTGGCATCTCAACCTTTGCCCACCTGCCGCACACTCGCTGCTTGACTAGCCCCGAGACAACCTATGATATCGCCATCCTTGGCGCACCCTTCGATACCGCAGTATCATACCGACCCGGTGCTAGATTCGGACCTCGAGCCATCCGTGCTGGCTCTTCTCGTCAGACGTCCTTCCGTGGCTTCAACCCACGCGCGGGGCTCAATCCATACACATCATGGGCAAAGATTGTGGATTGTGGGGATATACCCATTACACCCTTCGACAATGCCCTGGCATTGCGACAGATGAGTGAGGCCTTTCAGGAGTTGGCGAACAGGCCAGCGACCGAGAAGAGCACTGAGAGTGGGGTGTCGTACTTCAAGAAGCCAAAGCTGCTTACGTTTGGCGGAGACCACAGCATCGCACTGCCGGCTTTGAGGGCATTGAAGAATTTGTATAAGCAGCCAATTGCTGTTGTACATTTCGACGCCCACCTGGACACTTGGCACCCCGGTTAGTGACTCGAACAGTTTCAACAGAGTCAAAGATTGTTAACTCGGTGGGAATATAGCAAAATATCCAAGTGCATGGCTAGATGCCGAGGATCTATCGACGCAATCCTTTTTCAACCACGGCAGCATGTTTTGGTACGCTGCGACCGAGGGCTTGATCGCGAACGGCTCGAGTGTGCATGCGGGGTTGAGGACGCGACTGTCAGGTGACGACGATGCTGACCACGTTGACGACACACAGCAAGGTTGGCAGCGCATTGCTACGGACGACATTGACGAGATTGGAGTGAAGGGAGTGATTGCATCCATTATGGACCGTGTGGGCACTGAGATGCCCGTTTACCTCAGTATCGACATCGATGTGATCGACCCCGGGCTAGCGCCAGGCACCGGTACGCCAGAGCCTGGTGGCTGGACCACTCGTGAAGTGATTCGAATTCTGCGTGGTATCCAGGACATGAACGTGGTTGGAGCAGACATTGTTGAAGTCAGTCCTGCATATGACGGCTCGGCGGAGACGACGGGTTTGGTTGCAGCGCAGGTTGCTTACGAGGTATTGACGAACATGGTTCACAAAGGCCTTGTCGAACAGGCCCAGACGGGTGCGGGTTCCAAGAATAAGGATAAGGATGAGCTATGAGGTTTTCACGAATTTGGCCAGACAACAGCTAGGGTAGATTGCAGACACTCTGCTGATTTATGGTGTATGAGATGAATTCAAGAATGTAACACATGTCGGATGTACACATGTTTTTCGCACATGACTCTTGTAGGCGACCAAAGATAGACGTGTCTCCGTCAATGTCGTAGTAGCCGCCGCCGACATGGCATTTCCGATTCGCGGTGCAAGCGAGACTACTACTAGTACCTCGCCTACTTTGAACGTCATGTCACCTACTGAGAAAGCAGCCATGTCTTCCGCATTTGCACTGAATAAAAGGTAGACGCTCTGATGAAGCGAAACAAGCATCTAACACCCATTGTGAGGCATTTCCCACTCAGCAACTAACCAAGTGGGTTGAATACGCTTCCACATCACGTGCGAGCCTTCTGCCTAGGGAGTTTGCTACCAGTACGCAACGGGAAACCTCGAATACTTGCCTTGTGTGATACAAGAAGCTGGGAGCAGGAGTTGGTCTCTTTCAGGGTTTGTGATTGGGTCAATATTTTTTCAGCTGGCTTCATCTACCACGGTTTTCTCGCCAAACTGCCTGAAGCATGGTCTTTGGGAGCCGGGCTTCTCTGGGTAGCTTGGTACGTATGTTGTTTACTGCGTGTTTGCTTTAGTCGTGCTTCCGGTGGAGCAAGAAGCATCGTATTCTTGCCTCGTATATGTGCAGACGTATTCAATGTTGCTGCATGTTACCACTCTCTCCTAAAAGCACCAATTATGAGTGTTTTTGAAAATGAATCAGAGGGGCATGTGTATCTGAAAAACACTGCACTGCCCAATTCCGCCAACTACACAAGGCTGCATAAAGTCCTGCCGAGCATCACCACCCCCCTCCCCTTCACCCAAATCCCTCCCCGTCGCCCATTGCCCGCACGCTCCAGGCAGCAAGCCCGTTTCTCCACTTTAACTCGCTGCTGCCTACCCAATCTGACGTCAAAGCAAACCGCTCGCCAGCTCGCCAGGGAGCTATGACCGCAGGCAGCAGTCACGTGCCGCACTAAACTAGTGGCCTCCCTCCGTCTATAAAAACCGGCCCTCCCACCTCTCTTCTGTTCTTTAGCTCTCGTAAGTTTTTCTTCTCTTACCCCCTACTATTTACCTTTTATCGGCCATGTGCTAATGACTCGTCCAGTTTGCCTTTTGGCTTAGATCAAGTGTAGTATCTGTTCTTTTCAGTTTAATCTCTGGTGAGTTCTTTTACTTATCTTCCAACATTCGCCTCTTACTAATCGTCCCAGAAACTCTCCTAAGGGAGAATTCATCGATTATACTTATTTTTGCACCGAGTGGATGGCTCCCTGGGCTTGCTCACAGTCATCCTCACAGTGTCGTCCGTATCGCACTATCTCGGACTGACGCGAATCTTTTTCATTGAGACTTCGGGATAGCTCCTGATGCTTGAGGAAGAAGTCTGACGCATTTCCTTGAGATGAGTAGGTCGCTATCGCGACGGGTTATGATTCCAAGTCATTTTGTACGTGGCGGGGCCAAGTGAACAGACGGTTGTGTATTCTTGAATCTGGTTGTGCGTAAAGCCGATGCTCATTTTGTTCTGCGGCCATGCCCCCAGCAAACGTCTAAGCCTACGGCTCGGCTTGCAGCGGTAGCATCTGACAGTATAACATCCATTTTAGCTATCGCATGTACAAATCCAAGGGTGCCATTCGTCATAGGACTGGACCTTGAGATCTAGAAAGTTCATCATTCCTAACTTGCCACAGGAGACAGATAAAATAAAGCAGCGAGCGTATCCAACATAAGCAGCGCAACATCAGAGGAAGGTAAGTGGCTGCCTTAGCTTTGCAGTGCAGATCGCTCTTGGGGATAACCCAACAATATCAAGGTGCCAAGCATCTGGATGCTGTCTACTGACCATGTTGTGTAGGGGCCCCCCTATTTACTATTTACTACACTATCTAGAGCTTGTGTTTAGTTTAGTCTCAGTCTCAAAAGTAGGCTCTTAATATGCCAAGGCCTCCCTCACCGCCCATCTTTGAGTGTCCTTCACCACTCACTTATAACCGCCTTCCTTGGGATGGAAATCTTCAAGATTTGATAACCTGCAGGTTCATGTACCTCTCACTCACTTTTAAGTTGCCACCAAACATAGAAATAACAACAGTGACAAAAGCTGCTTTATGCGCAAGGGCATGGAAATCAATGCCATTCGTGTTCACATCACTTTTTGTGAAGAGTACATTCTAGACGTCAGTTGGTAGAAGAATGCTGTAAGATCAGAAAGCAGCTTACAGAACGTGAGATTCGAATATTGAACCCTCGCCAGTCATTGTATCTAATCTTAGCCTAGTAAGGGGACGTCTAATGCCTGATTTGATTCAGTGAATCGTTTCCCTGCCCGTCATTCACATCAGTTCGCGAGTATTCATGTCTGGAATACGAGTACTGTAGTTTAGCTACTTCCTCTTAGGTATTTTTCAAAACAAATGACTATGTACCAGAGCGTAACTAGGATTACCTCACAGCTTTGTAGTTCGATCGTTCTTCCCCCCAGTACCTCCCTGTTTCTGATTTGTGAGAACGCTCAGGATAACAGATGTCAGTGCGGAAAGAGCCTGATCGCTTATCTGGTAATGCGTAACGACTCGGTTACCCATCAACTTGATCCCATGCCTGTGCCCAGCTTGGGTCCACTCATTATCAGTAACGCCTGAGGCCCTCAGATTTAGCCATACAATATTCGTTTCCACGGGTCTGACTAGCTTCCCCCCTTTTTCAGTCCATAGCGTCCCAATGGCACTTGCTAACGAATGACTTTGCTTCAAAATTCCTCTCGTATCAGTCTGGCTCATCCCAAAATTCTCAAGAAGCGCCTGTCTTGCAGCTGCAACCAGAACTCCAGACTGACGCATACCACCGCCTATGCTTTTGCGAATCCGGCGCAACCGCTGGATCGACTCTGCTGAGCCGATGACCATAGCCCCCATTGGTGCACCAATACCCTTGCTGAAGTCGACAGTCAGCAAATCAGCACACTGAGCGTATTCTGAAAGTGTACCACCCCCAGCTGCAACGGCTTCCCAAAGCCTTGCACCATCGATATGAACCTGTATCCCGGCTCTTGTAGCCCAATCTTTGATTCTACGTAATTCTTCTAGTGGCACAACGGTTCCGTTTGAAGTATTTTCAATGCTTACAACTCTTGTTGGGCACTTGTGTACATCATACGATAGGACGGCACTCTTTTGGATATCTTCCAGAGTCAAATAAACATTGTTGCTTGGCCGCACAGTTTGCAACATGGCTCCCGAAAAGTGGGAAATTCCGCCAGCTTCCCAGTGAACTATATGCGCACTTGCATCGGCAAGGATAGCATATGGAGGTTGCCAGAGCAGTGTTCGCAGAGCTAGCTGGTTTGCCATTGTACCGGAGACCACAAATGCGGCGGCTTCGTGGTTGCAGAGATCAGCCACTTCTTGCTCAAAATTTATTGTTGTTTCGTCTTCTCTGTAAACGTCATCGTTCAAGGTGGTGCGAGCGATAGCACAAAGCATGCTCAATGAAGGCGTGGTAACGACATCACCTTCGAGAAATTAGAAGAAAATCGTATACTCAGCGTTGTTATACATTACTTCTAAAATCAAAAGCTGCTCTAGTCAACTGCGGTGAGCCCCAATATTGATTTTGTAGTCTAGAAAGACTCGAGTCGAATGATGATTCAGACATGTCCAGAATTGTCAGCCTTTGTTAGAGCTGGCAGACGTAGTGTGTTTCGTGCAGAAAACGGTGGGCTCTAGAACAGCTTAAAAACATCTGAACACAAGACGCGTCCATCTACCCCAGGGTTATTTACAAGGGCCTGGTCGGTTGCGCGGTTGCGTTTTACGTTTTGCGTTTTGATTACCGGATTTGGGCTGCGTTTTTGAACCGCAGCCAAAAACGCTATCATGTTC